CTAGACCGTGCAAAGTCCTGCTGACAGGTAGATATTCTGGCATCCATTAGGGATTGATACTGAGCGAATGCTGCTTTCCTTCTTCATTGGAAACCTGAACAAAGGGATGGAGCACTCTCAGCAAGTTCACAGGACAGGAAATTATTCGGTGTGCTAGAGGTTAGGGCTGCAGTTCGGAGGGACATCAACAGGCAGGAGAAATGTGACAGCAGGAACTTCATGATGTCCAACAAAGGCAGATGCAAAGCTTTCCCTGGGAGGAGTAATGCCATACAACGGCATAGGGCCAGATGGCTGGAAAGCAGCTCTGCCAGAGGGCCCTCTTGAGGTACCATTCTGGTATTTCTGAACTGTGTTATTTTTTGATACTTCAGCTTACCTTCAGCAAACTGATACAGCTCTGGGCTTCTGTGTTTGTGCCTGCAATCCTGATTTGAGGCACCAGATCAGCTTGCCTCTTGTTCCAAACCTCAGCTCTGCCCACCAGGATGGACTTGGCAGACATCAGTCCATAGAATTACAGAGCTGAAGGATTTTATGTTTCTCTATGTCTTGTTGTGGGGTTTCACGTGTGTGTTATGGAATACCTATTTCAGCCTATTAATTCTTATTTAATGTTTATCTCACAGACAAGTGGCTATTATTCCCCATAAGAAACCTCATAATTCATGTGCAATGACAGCAGCAATAAAGAATTCATTTGGGCAACTTGTTTCTGCTTGGCCCATTAAATTAAAGACAATCAAAAGTATTGTTCAGAAAACTAACCCAGCCAATTCCTGAGCTTTTACAAGTACCAGTAAATCATATGTAACAGAGCAGGCTGTTAAATGCAATCAGTCAAGATGAAAAATAGGAGGCCGGTGTTATTACAGCTCTCACCAGTGAGCTCACACTGTAAAATGTGCTTCTTTTAATCAGCTTCTGCAAAACCCAGACAACACAGCCCCGGGAGGGTAGGGGATGAGCTAAGGTCAGCATGAGGGGGAGAAATGAGCACCAGTGTTCCTGTCGGGGATGGAGGGGCAGAGCCTGCTGCTGCTGTGTTCTCCCTTGCAGACACTTTCCATTACAAACTGAACAGTACATATGTGTTGGGTGGTGTTTGTTCCTGTGAGGAATATGGGGATATGGAGTGCTATGCTGCAGGTGAAAGTGAGACACTCAGCTGCAGGTTTTTCAGCCCCTGGAACTCTGAAACTTGGCTGTAGCACAGTTCTGTGAAGAAGTAACAGTAAAATGCCATTGGATCCATGTAAAATGACAGTAAGAGAAAGGGAGGCTGTTTTACCTCTGCAGCTAAGATGAGGTGTTCTAAGCTAACTTGAATTTTTCTGTTCAGTGCAAAGAATAGTTCAGATCCTTAGGGGTTATTTTTGTTTTATTTTTTTCCTGTGCTTTTTTAACATCAGATATGATTTTTTTAATGCAGGAAGAAAACAATCACTTTGAGACAAATCACTGTAACAGTCCCTGTCCTTTTCTTTTTTCTCATTGGATTGGCTTTAAATCTGAAACAAACACAAAGGGAAAACTACAAGTGTTAGCTTTTTCTGCTTCACCAAATACGTAGTCTTTCTTCTACACCTCCTTACTTATTCAAAGCCTTTCAATCTCATAGATCACAGGATGTACAGAGTCCCTAGAGAGAATTAGACTGCTCTTATTCTGCAGAATCCATCATATTTCCAGATTTGCTCACTTTGTCTCAAACGGCGTAGGTGCGAGTGTGTCATTACTTGTCAAGGACATGACTAGTCGTGGGTGTCAGGGGAAAGGCAGGAGAAAGCTCGAGATGGCTATCTGTGTCTGTGAGTGCCTGAAAGCACTTCCTTCGGGTTTTTAAATGTGCAAAGTGCTTTTGTTAACTTATAAAATATGCCTGAGAACAGCTGGTAGCCAGCTGGATGCATCCAGCCCCTCTGAATTGTTTGTCACGTCTACAACATGTTGGGATCTGGTTTGGAATAAATACTCGAGGCGTAATTTATTAGAATCAATCTGAATTGTGAGAACAAATTGAAGTTCCATTGTACCAACTTTTGAAGATTCAGAAAGGTAAGCACAAATACCCAGGCTGCTTCTGCAGCAGCTCTTGAGGAGATAGCTCGTATGGTGGGTGCTTGACTCTGAGCACTGGCTGGGGGTAGACCAGCAGCTTTCTGTGTCTGCTATTTCCAACTGGTTTCCGGGTGATTTAACTTCAGTTTCTAATAAATGTTGTCTTTACTTCTCCTCTTTGGTTTGAAGCAGGTTGTGTTAATTAGGAAATGTAAATTTGTTTTCAGAACTGTGTATTTGGATGCAACTTGCAAAAGTAGATGGTATAATCACTCTGGTAGGAAACACTAGCAAGTATTCATGTACACAGTTACCTTCTGGCCTGAAATATCTATTTCTGTATGAAATAATAGCTTTTAAAAGAGAGGAAACCAGGAAAAGTAGATGAAGAACAGAACAAACTGCAGCTCCCTGTTTCCAACTTATGGGCAGTAATAGTGAGAGTTTAAGTAGAGTTTATTGCAGGTTAGAATGTCAAGCAAATTCAAACAAAATCTGAATAATGCACATGTTAACAAAACATACACTTGTGGTGCTTTGTTTCCTTTTATCGTTGTATTTGATGTATTTTCTATTATTTTGGTTGTATGCACTTTTGACTTTTCAGACTAGGTATGATGGCCAGAGTATTCTTTTTTCTTTTTTCTATGCATTCAGAACCATTGTAATGACCGAACTGTGACTTGTTTCCTGAGTCACAGTGGAGTATCAAACTTTCTATGTAAATGAAAATCTTTGAGTTACTTCTTGGACACTCAGATAAAGAGCTCAGCCTGCACAACGTCCCGCTGTGCTATGCCCTACAATACAGCACTATGCTGATCATCACGTCAGCACTCTCCTATTTTAAATCTTTGGACAAACTATTTTAAACTTGAAATTCTCTGTCTCTTGGAAGTGAGAAAGGGACAAACTATGTCATTTAGAAATTAATTTTTTTTGTGCAGGAATTTCTCCTGAAATCAGCTTGGTTTCTGAATGTTTCTCTTTTAACAAGCTAACAGCTGAGAAAGAATAAACCCCATTTTTAGAAGAACTATCTGTACAAGCTCTCATGCAAGGTCTGATGCCATGGATGGCCCTTCCCCTAAGGGCTCCCTGTGGGTGTTGAGCTCAGCAGGGCAGAAGCAGTCATAGAACTATAATGTTGGAACTGTCCTTCCTTTTGCATTCTACAGTCCCTAAAATCCTTCTTGCGAAGGAGCTTCTGTCAGGATTCCTTTGCTCAGGAACAATCTTGTGAACTGATGGAGGGCAGTTATCCTCACTTCCCCACTTTGTTATCAATCCTTCTCTCCCGTTCTTGCCAAGATAATTCTTTGTATCTTTGTTTGCAACCTGCTTCAAGCTCACTCTGCTGATCCCTCCCATGCAAGAGTCCCTGATGGGCACTGGCTCTGATGCACAGACCTCATGGTGCCCTGTACAGAGCGATGGAACCCTCAGGGCTCCTCTGCTGCTTTCCTCTGCTTTCTTTCAACTGTGCTCTAATTGGGGAATTGCTGTTCCTTGCTTTGTGATTAAGGTTAAGAGCCTGAACTGATTCCCTAGGTGTTCCCCATTCAAAACTTCTCAAAAGCAGTTATGTCTATGCCCTTTGTTACTGCTGAAAGTGAGGAAAATGCACATCACCTTCTGTGCTTGTGCTTGGCATTTGCCGAAGAAAAAATGATGGATGAGCTTGAGGGATGGCCCACTTGCACACTGTATCTTTATACTGAAAACCACAACAAAACCAAGTCTTATTGCCTTGAAAAGGTAGTGCTCAAATCTATAACCTTGTAAACTATGTCTCACAAAACAAACTGTGCTTTTGGCTCACACTTCCCACATCAGGTTGCTTTTGCTCAGTCCTTAGTAATGGAATGGCCATAAACTTGTTTTATGTCCTGCTTTGCAGTAAAGTGTAGTGTAGTAGGTGGTAGGCACGGGGAGCTTATACCCTCTGTCACTTCACTGTGGAAATGAGAATCACAGCTTCAACGTCTCCAGTTTACAAACAGCAGGGAAAGTGGAGATGGACCAAAGCACAGATATGAAGCAGAATTCTTCATCAGCTGGCAGTGACCGATGAGGCAGTTTCCCTAGGAACAGGGGGAGAGGCTGTTAAGCTTCAGGTGCCATCCTCCTTCAAACACAGCTGGATGTGAGGCCTGTGTGCATATCCCCATGCTCTTCAGCTGTGTTTCCCAAGCAAGTGCTAGGAAATAGGAGCCATGGCTTGCAGTGCATGACAAACGCTGTGTCTGCAGCTGTGCTCACAGAGCCTGACGCAGGCAGAAGTTGCAGGGTGACCCTCTGTCCGAGGGAAGCCTGGTGCTGCTGTTGTTACCAGTGGTGGCTTTGGAGAGGGGGGAGGCATCCACTAAGTGTCCCTGAAGTGTATGATCCCCATATGTAATTATCACTTTTATCCACTGTAGAAATAGCCAGAGCATATTTCTGTAGACCAAAATGGAAGATGGTGTCAGGGTCTGGAGCACAAGTCTTATGAGGAGCAGCTGAGGGAACTGGAATTGTTTAGTGTGAAGAAGAAGAGGCTCAGGGGAAATCTCATCATTCTCTATCTAGCCTGAAAGGAGGTTATAACAAGGTGAGAATCGGTCTTTTCTCCCAGGTAACAGCTGTAGGACAAGAGGGCATGGCCTCAGTTACACCAAAGGAGGTTCCAGTTGGATATTAGGAAAAATGTCTTCTCAGAAGGAGTGGTGATGCGTTAGAACAGGTTGTGCAAGAAGATGGTGGTGTCCCTGTAGATGTTCAAGAAATCTGGAGATGTGGCATGGAGGGTCATGGTTAGCAGGCTTGGTGGTGATGGGCTAATGGACTAGATGATCTCGGAGGTCTTTTCCAACATTATGATTCTATGACATAGCTCTGTGCAATTGCAAGCAGAATTATTAAATGGGTTTCCTTCTGCTTCTATTTTTTTTCTACAGGCTTGAAGAAAGAAATACAAAAGGATCAGGATGCTAATAGACCAGCTATCTCCTCCCCCAAGAGATCAGCAGTGACAGCCACCAAGCTCCACTCACCAGGTATTTATGAACCCAAAAACAATTTCAGGGAAGATTTCAACTTGTCAGCTTTGCATCTCTAGTTAATACACGGAAATCTGAGTCCTACTATTGTTAGTAAAGATTGATGGTGTCTAAGGCTCATTAAGCTGGTGCTGAGTACAGCAGGCTTTTTTATACTGATACATGAGCTGAATAGCTTTATGTATTCTTTGTTACTGCACTGCAATCATCTTTTTTTTCAAAATAAAGAGTTGTTGTTATTACATGTTGGAGGGCTTTGGAATATTCTTTTATCATTATATTTTTATTGTACAAAAGGAACAGATTCAGTGAAATTAAGAACACCTCAAACAATTTCCTGGAGAGATATTGTATTACTTGGAATCTACTAACGTTGTGCAGGAGCACTGAATTTCCTGTATTATTTCTATGCATAATTGGAAAAGAGTTCATCTACAGAAAGTCTTCAAACTGCTATTGGGGTGCTGTTAATTTACCCTTGAATATTGGATACAAACATGTGGCAATAGTATTTCTAAAGAATACCATTGTTTATGTACTAAAATGCAGAGAACTTATTTGTATTTCTGTCTACTAGAGTGCATTAAGAAATGTGTAGGAGGCCTAAAGGATTTTGTAAGGTTGGCCTTTTGGCTAACCTAACATACTTACAGAATGAATGGGCCTGACCCCTCTTACTGTATTTGCCATCTTCTGATCTGTTACCTCAGTTTTCAGACTGTGCTTAAATAATCTAAATATCATCTATGCAGCAATATGATAGTTAATAGATATGGAGGGTGAAACTCCTCATTTCCTCATTCAACAGTATATTATAAAACATATAAAGGAATTCTTTAGCTCCCATAACTTGCATGGAGAATCTCTTCATTTTTACTAAATTCAGTGCCAGTTCTCCTTCCCAACCAACAAAATTGAGAAGGTTAAGTTTAATCCTCACAGGCACTAACAGAAGTCAGAGTCCTTCTTCAGAAGCTAGGGTAAAAAGATGAACTTAACGCTGTCCTCTGAAATGTGTAATTTTCAGGCTGTTTTGAAGCTGGTGAGGTCACCAAGAAAAATCCAAAGAGAAATTTGCTGCAACGAGTACCAGGCCAGCAGCTTACTAATGTTTATAACAGTGGGAGTTCAGTTTAAGAACCGTCACTGAAGGTGGTTGTAGCAGCATGGTACAACAGAGCTGGTTTGCTTCTACCAGAAATAGAAAGCAAAATGGTATATTTGCTGGGTTTGAAGGGAGCTGACTTTGCTGTTGGTGATCATTGGACTTAATGGTTTTCAAGGTTTAAGATTGGATATATCCAATTTATGATGACTCAAAAGTTCAAATGAAACCTTCATTCTCTCAGGAGGTTGAGTATCTGTTCTCTCTCCATCAGATTCATTTACGATTTCCTATGTGTGGTTATCTGAAATTATGACAAAATTGTTTTTCGCTGTAAGGATCAAAGGAGAAATAAAATTCATCTTCATTTATTGTCTTTAGAGTAGCCATGAGCATTCTTTGAAATAACAGCAATAACAAAGAAATAAAGAGAATCTTTTTACCTACTCAATAATTTCTCAATTCAGCCAAAGCAGCCATAAAACAGAAGAAGGAGTGAGTGCAGCAATGGCTGAGAGGCAGCGCTTCCCCCACGAGGGTCACTAACATAATGCCATGCAGCATTCACACTTGGTGACATGGTTTCTGCAGGTAACCCCAGCACGGCTTCATGTGGCTATGAAACAGGCTCTAATATCTCCAAGTGCCATTTCTAAATTGTTTTCCCTCTCTTGTTGGCCCTCTCATGTGCACTTCCTGATCTTCAATGCTGTTTTTTGGCCATCATGCAAACCCTCTGACATAAGGATTGAATATGAATGCTTTTTTAGCTTTGGATCCAGTCTTTAGAATTTGGGTCGATCCTCCTAAAGACTAGCAAAAGTGTTTTGAAACACAGTCTTGTAGGGGTCTCCATTTTGTCTGTTATACAGTATTATTCCTGAAGTTTGCAGGTATGAGTGTGCCTGCAGCACTGTGCCATCCATTTCTGACATGTGTCACTCTCCACGTTGCTTGTTATCAGTACTCTCAAAGCAGTGGCCTCACTTCTCTTTCCAAAATGTTAACCGTTGAACAATCAAGAGGCAAACAGATGGCATGCCCCATACTAATTCTCATGGACTGTGTTAATAATGGCCACATACTTGCTATGGCATCTTAGCTCAAACATTCAGGTAAATAAAGCAGACCTGAGAGTTTTGAGGCAGATCAAAGGTTTTCCATGGCTTTAGTGATCAAGAGATCTGCTGCATTGGTCCCCCCATCAGCACAAAGGACATCCAGGATCAGGGTCAGCATCATTAACATATACCCTGTTTTGTGCAAAGCAGCAGAAGAGCAACATCAGTGGCAGAAAAAGCTTAGTAAGCTGCTTTTCAGACCTAAATGAACTGAGAAATTCAGATTTTTTCCCTACAGAAAATATGTTTAATTTACAAGGACAGCTTATAATACTGACAAGGTCAACATAGAGATGTGTACTTCAAATATTCCACTGAGCAGGAGTGCTAGAAAGATAGAAGATAAAACAATGGGCTTTATCCCATTGTTGTGTTGCTGTTGTAATTAAATCTGAACTGATTTCAGGAGCTTCCTCCTACACTTCTTTGTATGCCTTCTGTTGTAACATTACCACACTTCCTAAACTACTAGACAGTTTTATACTAAAAAGACAGATATTTGTGGTTGTTACTTTTATGAATTGCTTGTTTTCTGAAAATGCCTATTGTCCAGTTAAGAGTCCCTTTAAAAAAAGAAAGAATCTGTAAGAAAACATCATTCTTGGGGGAAAAAAAAGGGTAACCACTTTGCTGGTTCGTAATGCCAGAAAACCCTCTCTGACATGGCTTTTTGTATTATTTGGATCTTTCAACATGATGAAAGTCTTGACATGTGAAACTTAGTATTGTATGTAATGTAAGTCATGGGCACAGAAAGTCTTAAAGTCTGTTCTGTAGCTATGGCTCTTTGGCTCTTTGCTGCAGTGACACAAGGTATTGAGGCCCAAGGAGCATCTTTGCTGGTGCTGGCTCCCTGTAGCTTAGCCTTGAGCAAGGATGTAGTAGAACAGGTTGGGAGATAGGCTACCAGTGGCTCCATGTGAGCTGTGGATAGATCTGAAAGGGTAGGAGTACACTCCTGGGACTTTGCTTGGGCAAAGAATTTTTCTGTTTTTTAGGAGAAAGGATGAGTAGAATCTCTGGCAGAGGACAGTCTCCTGCTACATTCATTGCTGAGGGCTGGTTGGAGATACTGCTTCTGTATTATTTTTCAGGAATTGTATACTTAAAACTACAAGACACCTTTTTTCAGATCCTTGAATACCTGACCCTTCCTGCTAACACAGAATTGTTAAGCTTTCACCTGTTTTCAGGCCAGTGCTCACCACCTGCAGTAACATACAGAAGCAAGGTGTCTGCCAGCTTTTTCCAGGAAAGAGCTAAAAAACATCAGCCGGTGAGAAGCGGAGAGCAGCAAGAAAGCTCAGTATGCTGGGCAGAGGAGTTGCCCAGCTGACGATGTAAGTTTTCAGAGGAGACTTCTCAGAAAGCTCAGAAGATGAAACACCAAAGCCAACTGCAGTGGCTTGGGCAGTCCGATCCCACCAGGGCACTGCCACTTTTGCTTCATCCTCAGAACCATGTATTAACCTGCAGAGGAATGGATATTCGTCTCAAGCAAGATATGAACTTAGGATAAAAATCTTTTTTTTTTTTTTTTTAAAGTCATCACACACTTGTATGAGCACTACAAGAGCTTTTTATGTTATAGGGATGATTCTCAGAGGCTTTAGATACACATCAAGATCACATCCTTATGCTTAAAGCAACTGACCTCAATGATCTTCTCTCTTTTGTAGGACATCCCAAGCAAAGGTCAACCACCCCAAGAAATGTGTGTTCCCCCAAACCAGGAGAGAGTCGAGATGCTGAAAAGCAGTTCATCCAGAAGCTGAAGGAAAAGTGTGATGAGCAGTCAAGGCAATTAAGCAATATCCGAGATGAGCTTAAAAGGACCAGCTGTGGCTTTGATGTCTTTGCTATAACAACACAGCACTTCTTCAGGCAGGTAAGTGCAATGAACACTTTTTACTGTGGGAAAGATACTTTGCCTTTTTACACCATTGACTTGCACAAATTTATTTCATAGTCATTGAAGTTCTGTTCTTGGGAGCATTGCAATGTAATTTATTTGCAACAGTTAGTGTGAGAAGGGAAGCATAATTGGATACCATGTATTTGAGAATCAAAGTTCAGAAACTTGGAAGAGGAAGAAATGTAAAAAAAATCTTTTGTCACAAACATGAAGTACTTTCAGGAATTTCTTATGGATGAAGCAGGTACAGAAAGTCCCAGTCTTTGATTTGCAGATGGAATGGAGGGTGTAGCTGGGACACTTGCAAACAAATGAAAAACAGTCCATGCATTTACACAACCAAAGGTGATGGATGAAGGAAAAGATTTTCTTTCTCACAACATATATCTGCTGTTCCCCTTCACTGCAATTCAGGAAGAATGGTCACTGTTACAAAGGAGCAGTTCCTAAAGAGTGGAAATAACATTAACTCAGTATTTATGAGAGTACATTTAGCAGGTACAGAGAACATTGTTGTCAGCAACTGGAGAAGCTTATTTATTCACTGTATCCAAGACAAAATGAGTGAAAGAGTGAGGGAGTCGGGATTGTTTAGCTTGGGGAAGAGAAGGCCCTGCAATCTTCCAGTACTTGAAAGGAGCTTACAAGCAGAAGGGAGACTCAATTTTTACACAGGTAGATTGTGACGGGGCAAAGGGGAATGAATGTCAATGGAAAAGGAGCGGTTTAGGTTAGATGTTAGGAGGAGATTCTTCACTTGGGGGATGGTGAGGCACTGGAACAGGCTACTCAGAGGAGCTGTGAATGCCCCATCCCTGAGCTGTTCCAGGCGACATTGGATGAGGCCCTGGGCACTCTGATCTAGTGGTTGGCAACCAGCCCACTGCAGGGGGGTTGAAACTAGATGATCTTTGAGGCTCTTTCCAACCCAAACCATTCTATGATTCTATGACTTGTAGGTATTGCTTCATTCAATCTAGCTGGGCTCTGAATCCTAACCTGGCTCACCTGATGCCCATCTGTTTGGTATCCCTCAGGTAAAACTACTGTCCCAACTATTTTGTAAGATAGGCAGATGATCATCAGCAATAGGACCCAAGGTTTCAGTAATATCCTTGATTGCCTGTTTGTCTACTTTTAGAAGAGACAAGTAAGTTTGCAGTATTACATAGGGGAAAGAAAAACAAAAAACAGAAGTCATCTCCAGTCTTTACAGATTCTGAAATATTTCATTCAGTTATTTTTGGTATATTAGTGCAAAAGGTTACCTTTGAACAAATACCATGGTTCATACTTTTCCCTAAGAACAAGCCAGTCTTGCTGGGGGAAGCTTGTCTGAACTGAATTTTTTTAAGTACTGTTTTAAATAGCTTCCCAAGGGATTTTTTCTCCTCTATTTTGCTTTTGTCTTGACATTTCTGGGCCTGATGGGCATTTGTGGAGCCTTTTTTTTTTTTTTTCAGCTGACTGTGGAGCGTCCTTGATTAAAGCAGAAGGAAACAAACAAAAAAAAAGAGGCACATCTGTGTCTGCACAGTTTTGTCTATGTGTCGTCCACTGGGGAAAGATTTTTCATCTCATGCATCGTTCACAATTTGCTGAAAGAATTCTGAAAGTTTGGGCATATCTCCTTGGTGTCCTCTGGATATGTTTTAAATGAGAGCAGCTGCTGCAGCAGAGTTTTGAGATGACTCTCATCCTGTTGGTGTGTGTTCGATCTGTCCTGAGAATGCCTCCTAAATTGAATGCGGTAGGGGACTTAATCTAATAGAGTCCTCTCCAAGTTCTGGCTGAGCATAGCTATGCCTACTTTTCCCAGGCAAAGACACTCCAGCCTCTCATGGTGATGAGCTGCACAGTCAGCGTGAGACCAATAGTTGTTATCCTTCAGGAACTCACGTGTGGTGCCCACATCAGGATGATGGTTGCCTTTCTAGTGAATTAGAGGCATGTGGGCACTTCCAGAAGGCTATCTGCTGAACCAAAGATCTGAATTTAATATTGATAGACTTGAGAGTATCCATTGAGAGCTGTAGGGAAGCCAAAAGTCTACTGCCCTTGTATTTCGTGCTTGAGAACCTACATGTATTGGGACAATCTGGGACTGCTCATGCAGTTGCATAATTGTGCAATTTATTGCCTTGCAACATAGTCTCAGACTTCCAAGTTTTTGAGTGGCATTTGAAAATATGATCTGTAGACATTTCTGAGACAGCATTATTGTCTGAAAGCTTGAGCAAAATTGTTAGGGTAACATGGAAAAAGAAACTTTTTTCATACTTTTCTCATTGTAAAAATAATAAAAATTGTACGTGTTTGTTTCTGAGAAGCCTGCATGCAGAATGTTTGAGGTCTGAGCAGGACTGCAGTTTGCAGAGGGAATTATACACACTGAGGAATTAGAGGGGTCTTATTCCAGACAAGTTGTCAAGAAGGCCAACAGCATCCTGGTACCCTGTCTCATACAGAAGAGGCAGGCTGGGCTGGGTGGCCACTCTGCCTTTCAAAGGAGGATGTATCTCCTGACACAAAAAGCAGTCGGTGACTGCAGAGTCTGGGCAACTGGCAGACCATTCCCAGCTTGTAAAGAGCTGCAGAAGTGGGAGGAATCCCCTCTGCAGAATTAACAGAAGAATAGCTAGCACAAAATCTGTGGTGATCATAACCCAGGGGAGCCCTGAAGCGTCACGTTGTCAACACAGCCCATTTGCTGGTCTGACGATGCACAGCAAGGAAGAGAGAAGGGACGCAGAGACCAGAACAGATAAAATGGGCTACATGTGTAGCTGTTTGTGCCTTAATGGATCACTTCACAGATGGCCAGAGAACCAAAACAGTGTGTAAGACCACATTCTGACTTCCTTATTGCTATACATGTCAGCATAGCCACATGCGCACAGTCACACTTGCATTGTTCTGTCTGTGCAAAGCCCAGGGTGTGCATTTTACCATTCTGGTATGTACCTTAATGACACTGGCTGAATATGAGCCAGCAGTGTGCCCAGGTCCTACATATAGACATGTAGTGGGTATGTGCCTCCCTCCATTCACTACATCTGACCTTACTGGTCCCACTACACCTTGCCCTCCCCAGGTGTCTTACAGACATGTTTAACTGTGGGAGAAGGAGAGTGATGATATGTAGTGAAGAGTGTACAGCATGCAGCAGTAATTCATACAGATTGATTAAACATCAGCTAAACCAGTTTGCTATCCTGGGGAAAAGCCTGGACAAACAAAGCCGGCTATGATTCAATGGACCAAAACAAAATCAGAGCAGAAGTTCTGACACAGTCATTTGGGGAGCTATGGAAAGTAATGATTGTAGTGCCTGTGGACAACTGTTTTTAACTGTTAGTTAATTAGTTCCGGCCCTCAGAAATGTGCACGTGACTCCTGTTGACATTGGAGATTACCTCAAACTTATCCTGGAGTACATTTAGTTTGCGCTGTGACAGATACTGATGGATATGGAGGTGATACCATGCAGACTTCTCAGAGCAGATATCGCTCACAGCCCCTCTGGCTTGGATATCTCCTGACCCTCTCTGGCTTGTTAAGCACGATTATAATGACGGTCCTGACCCATCTTCAGCGCTGTTCAGCAGCATGTCCAGCAGCAGTTCCTCTTGGAAATGGTAATAGTGCCATCTATAGGACATTAGCCCAAAGTGACGAAATTACACTGTGAAAGCAGTGGTTGTGAAAAAACTACTGAGAACAGAGAGAGCAGCCAGGAGCTTCCCTGAACGTTCTCCCTCTGTGTTGCAGAGGACAGGCCGGGCAGGCTGTGCTGTTCTGGAGCAGGATATATATGCACAGTAGCCTGAGGTTTGCTGCCAGTTTGGCTACAAGGCTGCAAGTACACTTCTGGTCCATCCCCAGCTCTGGTCCATCCCCAGCCCCCTATACCTGTATTCACTAGTGAAAAGCTCTGTGCAGTGATAGGATAGCAACTGATCTTAATGGACCCTTTAAGAATGAGGTGATGAAGGAGAATGCTGTGCATCGTGTGGGGTTTTGGTTTTTTTTTTTTTTTGCAGTCAGTTATTGCCAGCAGGACTCATCTGGAGCTGCATGAAGTGCTCCAAAGCACCAGAGGAGATGCAGAGCTGCCAGCTGTGCCAGGCAGCACCTGCTTTGCAGCACAGTTGTCCTCTGACACAGCAAAGGGAGTGGAAGCTATGGGAGGAAGCAAAGATCTCTGCACATATCGCTCGTGTGGTGTTCCCTGAGCACACCTTTTTATTCCTTCCCCACTGTGCAGTCTCCAGTGATCAATTGCTGAGTGAAGATAATTAGCCCTTGATTAACACAATTTCTGTAGATAGACACCAGAAGGCTGTGCTGCCATTCCACAAGACTTGGACAGGCTGGAGAGTTGGGCAGGGAGGAACCTGATGAGGTTTAACAAGAGTAAGTATAACGTCTTGCACCTGGAGAGGGATAACCAGATGCATCAGTACAGATTAGGGAATGGCTTGCTGGAGACGAGCTCTGCAGAGTAGGACCTGAGTGCTCTATTCAACAGCAGATTGGCCATAAGCCAGCAGTGTGCCCTGGTGGCCAAGAAGGCCAATGTATCCTGGGGTACATTAAAAAGAATGCAGCCAGCAGATCAATGGAGTTGATCCTCCCCCTCTACTCTGCCCTGGTGAGGCCACATCTGGAGTACTGTGTCCAGTTCTGGGCTCCCCAGTTTAAAAAAGACAAGGATCTCCTAGAAGGAGTCCTTGTGGAGGGCCTCAAAGATGATAAAGGGCCTGGAGCATCTCCCTTATGAGGAAAGGCTGAGTAACCTGGGTCTGTTCATCCTTGGGAAAAGAAGACTAAGGGGAGATCTGATTAAAGTTTGTAAATGTCTGAAAGGAGGTTGGAGGCAAATGGGATTTCTCAGTGGTGCATAGTGATAGGACAAGGAGTAATGGCCCAAAACTTGAACATAGGAAGTTCCATACTAACATGTGGAAGAACTTCTTTATGATAAAGGTGATGGAGCACTGAAGCAGGCTGCCCAGAGAGGTTGTGGAGTCTCCTTCTAAGGAGATATTCAAGACCTGCCTGGACACCTACGTGTGTGATCTGTTGTATGGAACGT